ACAGGTTGATGACCGGTGCTCTAAGGGGTTCCTTTTGTAAGGTTTATTTAACTCTTTTTCTTCACCTTGTAGTGTCGCTCATAGCTGTTGTCATGTTGTACTTCGTGAATCTCATCCAAGGTAAGTATCTTTTTAACTGCTTGAAACGTGTGTGCATTTTGTCTTTGGGGAAGCAGTATGTACAAATGGTCTTTTAGTTAACAGTACGCACCATGGTGATGGAAGCTTATACCTGGAATTAATTTTGCAATAAGATGCTTTGACTTATTGAAAGTTTACTTCTTAATTCCCTTATCTTCTCATCCTCTAGTGCAATGCAGAGTTTTACACACTTAAGGATAGAAATATCAATAATCACTTCGAGTCATGTTATGAACCTAACATCATGAAACTGCCGTCTGTTTTTCCTGTCTCCACTGTCTAGAGTTCCTTTTGTTCTCCATATTTTGCACCCAGCAGCAATTCTGTTCTTTATTTCAAAAGTATATTTTGTATTTTCTTCAACTGAAGTGACACTTGAAGTGTCACATACAGTCAGGAAGACCACAGAACTAAAAATAATGAAAACGGATTCAGTGCCTAAAGCCACAATGAAAGTAAACTTAAAAGCCAGTGCAGCCAAAGTGAAACACAGCGGGAGAAAACAAACTAAAAGTCCAGTGTAAAAAGACTGGACGGCTTCAAAAGGGAATTAGATAGGCATATGGAGCAGAGGTCCATCAGTGGCTATTAGCCACAAGGTATAGATAGGGGCTCTGGGGCAAGCGATGCTCTGTCTTCTTGGTGCTTGGGGGGGGGTCAACAGTGGGAGGGCTTCTAATGTCCTGGCCCCACTGGTGGACCTCCCGATGGCACTGGTATTTCTGGCCACTGTGTGATACAGAGTGTTGGACTGGATGGGCCTTTGGCCTGATTCAACATTGGCATCCCTTATGTTCTTAAGACAGTTCTTAATCAGCTGGTCTCTGCCAAAAGCTGTGTCTTTGCAAACATGAAAGGCAGCAGTGAACTATCTAAACAAGCTTCTGTCCCGAGGGCATAAGAAGATCCCTGCTCGATCAGGCCAGTGGTCCATCTAGTCCACCATCCTATCTCACGTGGCAGCCAATCCGGCTGCCCTGGAGGGCTAGTAACAAGGCATAGATGCCGAGGCCTCCTCCCAGGGTTGCCTCCTTGCACTAGTATTCGGAGGCTTGGTGCCACTGATTGTAGAGGCTCCCTTACGTCCCATGTTAGTAGTCACTGATGGATCCATCCTCCATGAATTTATCTAGTCCACTGACATCCCAGTGGCCAGCTTCTGTGGAGCTGGCATGGCCCTGAACCCTTAATATTCATGCCTCCATCAAGGTGGGGGCTGTAGCAGTGCCTCCCCTCCTCCAAAACAGAGAGGCAAGAGCGTAATATGGGAGGAGGCACTCCTTAAAGCTCTGGACTGTCACCAATGGCTAAATCATGAATGACAAGCGGCTGTATCCTGGTCTGAGAAAAGCAGGCAAGAGTAGGCTGATTCGAGGCACTCCTGGATACTGCTGCAGCTTGAGAATGCAGCAGTGCTGAATAAAGGAGCATCTCTGGGCTACAAGTCTCCTCTTTCCGGAAGACTCTGCAACTCCAGCCCTGGGTTGACCACACCCCCTCCCTCAGTCATTTCTGTCCTTAGAAAATGTCTTCCTTCTGAAACACAACTTAGTTTTGCTGTTACTGTTGTGACATGTAACTCTCGCTGTCTTTATTTCTTAGCTTCATATTGTATTTTTTTTTGGTAATATTTTTTATTTTTAACATTTCTGACAGTTCTAACAAACAACAATTAATCTTTGTGGTTACAGTAACATCCTGCAAAAATTCTCTGAGCTTGTACAGAGTTATAACCTGTTTCTTGACTTACAATACATCACACAGTACAGAACAGAGTATTTTTTAAGCTGTGTTACGTATCTCTTATATTTGGTGTACAGAGTTTTGCAAGGGTATCTAAAAAGCACTGAATAAATAGTTCTACATCTGGCTGAGAGGCCCATGAAAGTGTACCCTATGGTTTGTTCATATTCCCCCCCCCCCATTAGTATTTTATTAGTTTTTGCAAGTTTTATAGCACAACTGGGAATATTTGTTCATATTTCTGATGGCGGTAGAACTCTTTGTGTATGTCATGATCATGTGAGAGGGTGTTTTGTTTTTTTGAATTGGTGTTTTTTTCCTCCCATAGGGGGTGACCTTAACTGGTCTGCAAAGAGAAGGGAAAAGTTTCAGAAGCTGGCTGTGTCTGAGTAAGTATGCAGTTGTGACTCTAACCTAATGTGCCCGTGGTTGGTCTCAGAACAGACTGTAGGAATGATTTGCAAATGGCTTTGGAAGTCCAGGACAGTGAATACAGGGACTGATGGGCCTTGACACTGCTTTCAGATCTATCCCACCAGCCACGTCTCCTGCCCCCGTGCTTCATTGGCGTGAATGGTAGGCATATCAGAGTGCAGGGTGAATTTTCTGTGCTTCTGGGTCATGTCAGTCATGCTTGCATGGGAGAGGTTCTAGGATCCTGCAGGTCTTTGGAGTGTGAGGAAGGTTAGTGATGATAGGAGGGGAAAACACTGCCTGCAGTCTTAATCTAATGCCACTCCCAAAGCCCTGTTGAAGTTGCAAAGGGGACATCTTTAGGAAATGAAGGCGGAGCAAAATGCAGATCAGTGGCTGTACTACAGTAGGCACACGTCTCCTCTCTTCCTTTAGCTCTGTAGAAAGAAGGGAAGGAAATAGCCATTGTTAATATTGGCTCCACCCCCCATTTATGACCTAAGCTTGAGTGGATGTTCCAGCCTGAAAATAGTTGCTTGCTTGGAGCCTGCTTTCTCTGGGCATTGCCCTTCTGCGCCACCTCTTTAAACATTTTCAGCGTGTCTTTAAACTTTCAGTAAGTTATGACATTTCTGACAAATTAACAAAAGTCTTGCAAGCCAGTTCCAATAACTTTCCTTACAACATTTTTTGCAGATAAGAAATCTGAATAGGAAAAATCCCGAAGTGGGGGAGCACTTTGATCAGCAGCAGGTCCGGTGGAAACGTGGTGCAAAGGGTGTGCGCGTGTGTCTTAACAGCTTGATGTTTAACTCTTGGATGATCTAGTTGATCGGGGAATGCAGTAATGCCTGTCGGACCCTCTCACATCTAAGAACGTGCACAAATCGGTCAAATCTGCATCGTTCTTGAAGGACTTGGATGGCAGCTAGCACGAATCTTGTGTTTCTGATCCACACCTCATTGAAGAGCGTTGGTTACGACTGAACTGAAGTCGGCTTCTTCAAAATGTGGCTGGAGCTGATCTTTGTTACTTCAGCAGCGCTTTAAATACTTTTATCTTTCTGTTGTGGATCTTTCACCCAGTACAGGGAATGGTTCATTCTTGCACATTTTCCTTATGCTCTAAGAGAGGGTTCCCTTTCAAAATGTGGTGTTTCTTAATTAGTCACTGCAAAGGTTGCATTTTAATACATCATGGTTTCAAGCCCATGAGTGTATTAGACGAAATCCTTACAGTGACGGTTTTGTAGCAGTGGTGGTAATCGTGGCGCGATTGGCCACATTCGCTGAATTGTTTCTACAAGAAACAAAATCTTGGGCTGCCAGTCAGTCACATGGCTTCAGGAGGCTCGCCTCCTTTTTCTGTTTTTGTACTGGTACTATATTCTTAAAGTTGTTAATGGCAAAAAGCATATGGAATCTTTGATTTTGCCCTGAAATTTTGATATTTATAAATAAATACTGGAGAAGAACGTGTCTATCTCTTACTGTCTCTCAGGTTTATATGGCTCAATCTGTCCTGCTTTACACTCAACCGTGCCCTTGATCCAGGAGTGACATCCAGCAGATCTTCTGGCTCATCTCACCGTTAACACCTGTGTGCTGACAGCGTTCCCTTTCTTTTGCAGAGCACAAAGACGGGGAAAAATCAGACGTCAGAATGAAGACGATTTAGCCAAATTACAGCCCAAGGATGACTTTAGTTTGAGGAATAGGTATCTCTCCAGATTAGGTGCTCAGGTACTGATAAGCATAAATATATATTTATTTCTAAGAGGTTGCACTGTGGATTGCTCTGATGTGAGTTTAGTCTCTGGCATTTCCACTTCAAAGAAATCTGCCTTATACTGAATCAGACCTGGGCCACTGTTGTCTACTCTGATGGACAGTGGATGTCCAGGGTCTTGGGCAGCAGTCTTTCACATCACCTACCTGAACCTTTTAGCTGCAGATGCTGGGGGATTGAACCTGGGATTTTGTGTGTACAAAGCAGAAGCTCTGCCACTGTGTTGTGGCCCCACAGTATGGCTGGGGAAAATGCTCTGCCTGAGACAGAGTAGATGGTCAAACAGGCTGACCTGGTAGAGACAGCCTCATACGTTTGCAGTGGATTGTGGTCATCTCTCCCTTCCCCACAAGTTAAAAAAACAGATTTAAACTTTGAGCCCCCATGTGCTGCTAATGGGGGCTTTTACTAGTGGGAAAATTACACAAATGTGCCCCTGTTTCCAAATGTGTCCAGAGTAAATTTAGACAAAGCTGAACTCCTTCTTGATGAGTAGCCTTGCTCTCTCTCGCTTTTGCAGCTGCCAGACAACTATACTGGCTCCTTATCTGCACTGGCACACAGAAGTGTGTTGAAGTAGCGGATTTGCACTGAGACACAGGGAATTCTATGCATCCCAGGACCTCGCGCTTCTGTAGCAGGGAGCTGCACATAGAACGGAAAAAAGAGTAATATTCCGTATTTTTCTACAGACAAACAAAAGCCCATAGCCAGTATCCTGAAGATTTTAAGATTTTCCATTTAACACTGTGCCAAGTGTAGGGGTGTGGTGTGTGTGTGTGTGGGGAGAAGCTGTTAAACACATCACACCTTTTTATATCTCTGTGCTGCTGTAAGCCTCCTGCTTTGCTCCGACTCCATCCCTAGTTACATGTTTCCTGTTGTAATAAGCATGAAGGACAGTTTAACTTAAAAGTTGCATGAAGTAGTCAGTCTGGGACTTAAAACAAAGTATCTTGATTGGGGCAATCATTCAATTGTATTCTTCTTTAACATTGGACATGCATGTTCGCATTCTGTATTGCTTCCTCTGTAAGAGGAAAGCCACAGAATCTTAATTCACTAAACCTTTAATTTCTGTGAAACTTTAGCTTTTATTGGTAACTTGCAAAGAAACGCACAGCGTCAAAGTACCTGTCTTAATCTTCTCCTCGTCGCCAAAAAGCAGAGGGTTGACATTTCCTGTGGAAATAGCTCAGTTTGAGTATTTTTTTTCTCTTTATCAAGGCAAACAGTGATTTTATAAAATCAAGCGAACTCTCCAGTTACTGTTCACAGCAATCAGAATAGCTGTGATTGCTTCTGTGTTCCTAATGAGTTGGTTTAAGTGAAAAACAGACTGCAGGGTGCACGGCAATCATTTTTATACTAAGCTAGTGCTAGTTACACAATTCTCCATTTCTAATCATGTAACTTTTACTCTGTTAGCACTGGCTTTTTGGGAGTGTTAATATTAACTGGTGTGCCTTGAGATATGTAAAACTGCATATCTTTTATATTTTCCTTTACAGTTAGTAGCAATGTTACTTACTTTGTTTAAATTGTAAAGAACCATCCATGGCTGTTCTGATTCTGTTGAAGGCCTTTTGAGTCCAAGTTCTCATGACATAGTGATCCCCTCCCCCCAAACTAGCATGTTAATTGGATACATTTTTTTGTTCTTAAACATTTTACATGATCTTTCTATTTGGCATTTAATTGCGAAAACAATTTGTAAAACATAGATAAGTTACTTGCAATTGATTTGCTTGTAAACATGTCTCCCTCATCCTAGAAATAAAGCCAAGTAAACAAAATGTGTCTTTTAAAAATATTTCCTAACAAGTTTTGTTCCACTGAGTTTTATATAACAGCCTTGCTGGGGGTGGAAGACAAATATGGCAGGCTACCTTTGTAAAATGTGAGGCTTTGTCAGGTGAATAATAAAATTCTTGTCCATGCAGATGGCTGCATTTGTAGTTTAAATAGGGAATCATTCATAGAGATGTGAAGGCCCGGAAAAAAAACGGAAAAATTCGGAAAAAACCCGTTTTTTTTCCCGTTTTTTCCCCTGAAGCTTTTTTGTTTTTTCCCGAAAAATTGGAAAAATTAAAAAAAGAAAAGAAAAGAAATTGATTATGGAATGTTTTATTTTAACATGATAAATAAAATATTTTAAGACAAGGTGTTCAAATATTTTCCAAATCATTTCTAAAATATATAATGGTATCAGATTGATCTAATTTCTGTGCACTGAGGACAAGCAAGTCCTAGGTTACAAACTGAACTCTCCAATGCAAGAACAAGATGCATTTCTTCCTTTAGGAGGTGCAATTGTCAGAAGAAAATAAAAAGGTTTCAGTTTTGTTTTTGCATGTGGGTGGGTATTATGTTTGTAATAATTGTTTGGGTACACTATATTTTTAATATGCTAGTTGTGATAATTTCACGCCAAGTAAAAATGTCCATAGTCATTTTTTATGTTCCTAAAGTAACAGAATGACTTTCAATCTAGAAAAGACAAAAGAAATGCTAATGTACCATTTTTTTCAATTTTTCCAAAAATTTCCGTTTTTTCCCGAAAAAAAACCGGGTTTTTTTCCGAGCTTCAAAATTTCCGGAAATTTTACATCTCTAATCATTCACCAGGGAATTATTCCCCGCCCTGAGCCTGCATTGCATGGAGGGCGGGGGTATAAATGTGATTAATAAATAAATAAATATCTTGCAGTGCTGATCTGTGTTCTGCATAGATTTTACTTTGCTGTAGTGTAAATACCTCTAACGTGGCAAGTTACGTGATCTTGGCAGGACAAGGTCACCTGATGGTGGGGGAAACAGTGGATACTGACATAAGGGCCTTGCTTAGTCAGATGAAAGGTTCCCCTAGTTCAGCATTCTTTTCCTGACAGCGGCTCATTCAGTTCTTCTAGGAGACTTGTAAGCTGCCAGCACAAGGAGTCTCTAGGACAACTCTGAGCCAGCTTTGTCCAACCCACTGATTCCTCAAGAGGAATTGTTTTGGGTTACTCCTTTGCTTCAGAACCTTCTTGGGGTATGAAAGAACTGGACCCCCGAATAACGCCTGTCTGGGAAAAAAGGTTCTGTCCCCTTTTGCTACTGAAAGCATTCCCATTGGTGGTGGAATCTGGGACATGACCATGGAGCCAAGTTCTTCTTCAGTGGCAAACGGGTAGCTTTTGTCCATTGTTGAAATGATTGTTGGGTATGCTCACTGCATAAAATTTTCATGCGTTTCTGTTGCTTCTGAGCCGTTTGTGACTCAGCTGGTTCTTATCAGTCATTTTGTAGGGCTCTATTGTTGTAGTCCCAGTTGGCAAGGCTGATAAAACTCGTTTTGACAAATACTTAAGCTTGAGATTTCTTATGATACAGCCTTTCTTTCCCCCAAAATATCAAACTCACTTTCTTCATCCACCTCTTTCCCCCAGGTTTAGTTAATATTTATTTACTTCATTTTTACCCCACCAATATACTCTTCTCCTCTTTTCTGTCTTATCCTCACAACAGCCATGTGAAGTAGGTTAGGCTGAGAGGGTGTGATTGGCCTGAGGTCACCCAGCAAGCTTCCATGAGTGGGGATTTGAGACTGGGTCTTCCAGATCCTAGGCCAACACTAATCACTATGCCACACTGTCTCATAGAATCATAGAATTGGAAGAGACCTCCGGGGTCATCTAGTCCAACCCCCTGCACAATGCAGGAAATCCACAAATCCCTCCCCCTCCACACCCGCAGTGAGCTGTTCCACGCCCAGACGATGACAAAAAACCTCCAGGATCCCTGGCCAAACTCGCCTGGAGAAAAATTGCTTCCTGACCCCAAAGTGGCAATCAGCATTTCCCTGGGCATGTAAGGAAGGGCCACAAGAACTAAGCACTGAGGCAACCCCTCCTGCTCTCCCTTCTTGTGATCTGCCTCAGTTCACAGAATCAGCATTGCTGTCAGATGGCCAACTAGCCTCCGTTTGAAAACCTCCAAAGGAGAGCCCACCACCTCCTGAGGAGGCCTATTTCACTGAGGAACCGGCTCTAACTCAGGAAGTTAGTTGTAGATCTGTGGTCTTGGCATTGTAGTACCTGACATTTCGCCATGGCCATACAGCCTGGAAAATCTACAACAACTAATGAACTCCAGCCGTGAAAGCCTTCAACAGCATGTCTGGAAATTCTTCCTAATGCTTAGCCGAAAACTCTTCTGATTTAATTTCAACCTGTTGGTCCTGGTCTGACCTTCTGGGGGAACCAAGAACAACTCTGCACCATCCTCTATATGACAGCCCTTCAAGTACTTGAGGATGGTTATCATATCACCTCTCAGTCATCTCCTCTCCAGGCTAAACGTACCCAGCTCCTTCAACCGTTCCTCATAGAACTTGGTCTCCATGCCCCTCACCATCTTTGTTGCCCTCCTCTGGACACCTTCCAGCTTGTCTATATCCTTCTTAAATTGTGATGCCAAAAAACTGAACACAATACTCTAGGTGAGGTCTAACCAGAGCAGAGTAAAATGGTACCATCTCTTCCTGTGATGTGGACACTATATTTCTGTTGATAGTGGTGTCTGGGTGCTGCAATGCAGTTAAGTGCATGTTGTATATTAGTAAAAGGCAAAGGCTCCCTTGCTCGAAAGCCAGTCGAGTCCGACTCTAGGGTTGCGGTGCTCATCTCCGTTTCAAAGCCGAAGAGCCAGCGCTGTCCGAAGACGTTTCCATGGTCATGTGGCCGGCATGACTAAACACCAAGGCGCACGGAACGCTGTTCCCTTCCCACCAAAGTGGTACCTACTTGCAATTTCTTGCTTTCGAACTGCTAGATTG